GTGTTTTCCAGGGGTGTGAAACAATTGTGTTATTAGGTGTTGCAGGTCATTTTATTATGCCCGTTAAGGATAATGAAGGCTATGGTTTTTCCAGTGGTCATGTATGGATGTGAGATTTGGACTATAAAGAAAGCTGAGCGCCGAAGAATTGATGCTTTTGAACTGTGGTGTTGAAGACTCTTGAGAGTCCCTTGGACTGCAAGGAGATCCAACCAGTCCATCCTAAAGGAGATCAGTCCTGGGTGTTCATTGGAAGGACCGATGTTGAAGCGGAAACTCCAATACTTTGGCCACCTGATGCAAAGAGCTGACTCATTTGAAAAGACCCTGATGCTGGGAAAGATTGAGGGCAGGAGGAGAAGGGGACGACAGATGATGAAATGGTTGGATGGCATCACCGACTCAATGGACATGGGTTTGGGTGGACTCTGGGAGTTGGTGATGGGCAGGGAGGCCTAGCGTGCTGCAGTTCATGGGGTCGCAAGAGTCGGACACGACTGAGCGACTGAACTGAACTTGAAGGAAACAGAGGTATAGGTAGAAATAGGCCCAGTATCACTGAACCCTGGGAATCAGAACCAGGATTGGATAGAATCTCTGTCTGACCATCCTTTCAAGGGTCTTGAGGATTACAGAGGCCTACCAGAGGTACTTCAGTTGAATCTTTTCTCTTATTGCTATTTGAATTAATTGGGAAGTTTGGGGTGGGGATCCCCTGGTAGCTCAGCTGCTAGAGAATCTGCCTGCAATGCAGGATACCCTGATGTAATTCCTGGGTTGGGAAGATTCCCCTGGAGAAGGGAATAGCTACCCACTCCAGTATTCTGGCCTGGAGAATTCCCTAGACTGTGTAGCCCATTGGGTCTCAAAGAGTCGGACACGACTGAGTGACTTTCAGTTTCACTTCAGGAAGTTTTTGAGAACTTCTGAGTTGTATAGCATAATTAGCATAGGTGATTCTGACTTTAGAACAGACAAGGAAATTCTTTTGTATGAACCAGCTGGGGCTGCCCTAACGAAATACCTTAAGAATGGATGCCTTCAACAACAGAAATTTATTTCTCACTGTGTTGGAGGCTGGGCAGTCCAGTTCAAGGTGCTGGCTGATCTGGTTTCCCATGCGAGCTCTCTTCTCTTCTCTTCCCTTCCTGTCCTTACCCATAAAGTGAGGGGTTGGACTCGGTGGTGATCTTTGAGGCACCTCTAATGTCCCTGATCTCTCTTACAGTTGAAGGAAATCTTTGGATTCAAAGTGGACTGTTCCAGATTGTCCAGTGAGTGGTTAAATCCTTACTTGAAGTGACAGTCACCTCAGGTTCTAAAGCTTCACATTTGTTCTTTATCGAGATGAGAAGCTGCCAGTTGTTCTTTTGTCAGCTGTATGTATAAAGCAATAACGGTCCTCTAGTTGTATGGCTCTAATAAAAGACTTTCCCCACCACTCCCTCCCCTTTTAAAAAAAAAATAAAAGTTTTTATTATTTATTATCACTTAAAAATATTTTTCATACAATTTTTAAGGGTGACTTTCCATCTACACCTGTCACAAAATGTTGACTATATGCCCCATGTTGTACAGTACATCCTTGAAACTATCTTATACCCAGTAGTTTGTATCTCCTACTTCTGCACCCCATGTTGCCCCTCCCCCCTTCCCCACCAGTAACCACTGGTTATATAGAGTAACCTCTATATCTGTGAGTGTATGTCTTTTTTGTTATGTTTAGTAGTTTGTTGTATGTTTTAGATTCCACATGTAAGTGATACCATACAGTATTCGTATTTCTCGGATTTATTTCACTTACCATAATGTCCTCCAAGGCCATTCATGTTGCTTGCTGCAAATGGCAAATTTCTTTTTAATGGCTGAGTAATATATCTATTGTGTGTGTGTGTGTGGAGAGAGAGATCTTCTGTCTCCATATATCTGTTGATGGACACTTAGGTTTCTTCCATATCTTGGCAATTGCAAATAATGTTACTATGAACATTGGAGTGCATATATCTTTTAGAATTAGTGCGTTTGTTTTTTTCAGATACATAACCAGGAGTGGAATTACTAGGTCATATGGTATTTCTATTTTGAGCTTTTTGAGACACCTCCATACGGTTTTTCACAGTAGCTGCACCAATTTGCATTCCTATCAACAGTGTATAAGGCTTCCCTCTTCTTCACATCCTTGACAACATTTTGTGCTCTTTTTGAGGATAGCCATTCTGATGGCTATGAGGTGTTATCTCATTTTGGTTTTGATTTGCATTTCCCTGATTATTGGCCATGTTGAGCATCTTTTCATGTGCCCATAGGCCATCTGCATGTCCTCTTTGGAAAAACGTCTATTCAGTTCTGCCCATTTAAAATTTTTATTTATTTATTTTAAAATTTATTTTTTCCTGTCCTTTTATTTGTTTTTTGATGTTGAGTTGTAGGAGCTGTTTATATATTTTGAATATTAATTTCTTTTCAGTCATATCATTTGTAAATATTTTCTCTTATTCAGTAGTTTGTCTTTTCATTTTGTCAGTGGTATCCTTTGCTGTGCAAAAGCCAACTCAACATCCCTCCCCCTTTATGGAATTCTTCTTTGTGTCCATGTTCTTGCATTTGTCTGTGGAAGCCAGAAGACTTTTATAGTCAAGGGCTTAACTGACTCTGAGTGGTAGCCCCATATCACATACACTTATTTTATCCTTTCTGGGAATTTGTCGTCTTCTTTCCAGTTTTGCCAGTTTGAAAACGGTCTGAGATGTGGATGGAGAATGGAGGGGTGGGACTGGGAGGCAGGGTTTACAATAGATAGGGTTGAGCTTCCCATCAGCAGCTCATTAAAGGTGTGTGTTGATTTCTTTGCTGGCCCCGTGCTAGCTAGCTACTTATCTGTGCTCCCTTCAGCCATGATCTCTTGTTCTGGAGACCTTGATTGGAAAATGCACTCTGCTATCAGCAGGGCTCTTTGTAGTGTTTGTCTCTGGTATCTGGAGCATTCTGGATGGAGCCCAACATGCTGTGATCTGCACACTGGTGAGGTTGACCCAGTGGGACTTGGAATAACACCTGATGGAGGACTGAGGTAAGGGAGAGGGTGGTAGTGGTGGTTTACTTGCTAAGCCGTGTCTGACTCTTTGTGACCCCATGGACTGTGGTCCATTAGGCCCCTCTGTCCATGGGATCCTCCAGGCAAGAATGCTGGCGTGGGTTTGTCATGCCCTCCTCCAGGGGAGCTTCCCAGCCCAGGGATCAAACCAGAGTCTCTTGCACTGCAGGCAGATTCCTTACCACTGAACCACCAACTGACGGATTGAACATTCTGAGACCTGAGAACTGAGCTCTAGAGAGAGTGCGACTCACTTGGACCTTCCCGCTAGGGTGTTTCTCTTTTCTGCAACAATATAGGACGATGTAGAAGATATTTTCTTAGCAATGGCCAAACAGGGCTGCAAGGGAAGAGTGTGCTTCTGGCTTGTGGGTAGAAGAAAAAAAGCATGGACCTGGGAGTGTGGCAGACCTGACTCAGACCCTGGCTCAGGTACTTGTTAGCTGCGAGGGTCCCAGCGTTCTCACGTGTAAAACAAGGCTAACAACAACAAAACAATGCACAGACTTGTAAAAACAATTATACAAGGAAAATGCCGACTGTATAGTGGGTGGTCAGTATATGTGGATTTACTCCCCTGGTGAACACAGATGGGGCTTCCTGCCATGGAATCCTTGAAGTTGGAGACCTGTCTTTGGAGCATTTGGGTGACCTGCTGGATCACCAGGTCAGGGGCCCGGAGCTGATGGTGAGACCACAGGGCAGAACCTTGGCACCAAAGACACTCATTTGGGCACTTCTGTCGGAGTGGGGAAGCCTTGATTTGCACAGGAAATGTCACACGTCTATGTCACATGTATCAGGATAGCTGATACTGGTCTCTCATCTTTTTTGACAAAAATAATCTCCCCTCCCCCACTTCAGTGATATTTAGCAACTCATTTGGGAAAAAGTACCCAAAGGAAAATTTGAAGGAGAAGATGGTCACATCCACCGCCTTTTGCACAGGCTGTTTCTCTCCTTGGCAGTCTTGCAGTGGGAGAGGATTTATGTGATGAGAATGAGATTTTTGATATTCTTTGCAGAATCGAGATGCCTTAACCTGGAGGTCTTTTTGCCCCTTCGGAATATAAATCCGATTAGAAGCTCTTTGTGCTCTGCCACAAGTCATTACACGTCTACATTTTGTTCTTATAAAATATGGATAATGACATGACTCTGTCTCCTAGGAGTTTGAGTGCATTAGCTAATGATCATGAAACCTTAGAAATGGGAAATGCATATGAATGCTGAGAGCTTTTGTAATTACAGGTTTGCATCATTTTGCTTGGCATCCTTGAAGAGGCCTGCTTTCAACATGAAAATACTTGGGTTGATTCCTGTTCTTCTAATTGTAGAGCAAGCTTGGAAGCGATAAACTCAGAGAGTGTTCAGAGCAGAGAAGTCATAGCATCTCGTGAAAGCCCTCAAGTAGCTTAGGCTGGAGTGGCTTGGTTTGTGCTGAAGTGGGAGAAGAGCTTGAGATATTGTAAAGTCACCACAATGAGAAAATACCAGTGCCCAAGGATGGTAGTGGCTTCCATGCAGGGTTGTAGTGAAATGCTCATGTCCTTTATTCTTGTGACATCAGATATATTATTTTCTCAGCCTTTATTCTAGGCAGCCGTGAACACGCTGTATTGCAGTGGGCTGTTTTGATGTGGGTCACCTTCCTGGATTGTTAAGCCTCTGGAGTGTAGATACTGTCTTTGTATCCTCTAGAAAAATCCAGATTTTCCTTGATCTCATCCAGATAATTATTTTCAAACTTAAGAAACTCTTTAAAAGAATGTCAGATGTGTGAATGTCAGAAATGTGTTGAATACCCAAGTTATAGAACCTTAAAAAAAAAAAGCATTAATTTATGTGGGTGACCTGACAGTGTGCTGTGTGACAGCTGACGTTGTTTTTATTTCCTTTCAGGCAGTGGCGCTACAGCTGTGGTTCAGGCTGCTCTGTGCAAACCCAGGCAAGAACGTGTAGCAATAAAGCGGATCAACTTGGAAAAATGCCAGACCAGCATGGATGAACTATTAGTAAGTCACAGTGAACGGGATACCGCTGGTTGCTTTTCTTATCTTATGTAGAGATGAGCCGGAGAACAGGAGAGGAGAGAGCGGAGGCCACTTGATGTTCTCTCCCATTCGGACACATGTATTTTTTGGAAAGCAGCCCACCTGGCTTTTTCCTCCTTATGACTGAGTTGTGTAATATACAGCTTACTTTGCTTTGACAAATAGAATTTTACTCAGGCCTCATAATCCCCAGGTGGGGATGGTCTTGGTGTTGACACTGCTTTATGAAACGAGGGAATAGACTCAGATGACCTAAGGGCATGTGACACTGAATTGGATGACGGGCTTCTGGCCCTCTGTCTTGTATCATGACACAAACAGGAATTACCCCCTCAACAATTGGTGGCCCTTCTGGCTTTCATAAATCACAAAATCTCCTATAAATTTCAGTTATTCAAAAATACTGCAGGGTAGCTCGCATTCCTATTGGCGAATGAGAAGAGTTTGTTTTTTGTGTTTTGTGGTTTTTTTTTTTTTGGTACAGGGCAACTTGTACTTCTAAGTAAAGTTTGTTACATAAATAATTGGAGCTTGTCAGTGTGGCTTTGACTGTAGGAGCATTGGTTGGTTTGAAGGATCATTTGCTTTTGGTTTAGCTGACTCATTATTAAATGAACAGCTTGGCAAATGGTTATTAGTTGCCCGGCAAACTGTGAAAGGTTTGAGAGTTTAATCTCATAAATATAGTTGTCATTCCGCCTGCCAATTTTCTTTTTTTTCCTTTTGGTCATTTGTTTGAGGATAATGAAAAACTGCAGTGGAGGAGTTAACTGATTGGTTATCCCACCACTAATCCCAGGACAAATATTAGTCCAATAGCTCCATACAAGCTACAAAGTATAATGACAGTTGGCTCCAAATGAAGAGGCCTTTTGTCATAGTCTACATTGGGAATGGAATGTCATTAACAAGAGCCTTTTGTCTTTACTCAGAATATAGCTTTTATTTCAGGCATAATTACAGTACACTATAGTATAAATTAAGTACAAGGATAAAGCTGTACTTTTCCAGATCTGTTTGGCCTTACATTTTCAATCAGGCTCCATAAAGCATAGTTTTCGCTGGGATTGAAACAACAGATTGCTGGCTAAAAGTTCAATTAAAGGACGGGCTTCCACAATTTAATTTAAAAAAAAAATTTTTTTTTTGGCATATATTTAGCACTTTCACCCACCTCAGAATTTCAGCTCTGCTCTGCTCTTACTGAAATTATTACTGCATACTTCTGTTGCTTGCTATCACGGTGACCAATAAAACTGTGTCTTTGTCATCTGACCAGTTTTCAAGGTCACTTTCTGGCATGGAAAAAGCTTTAAACAAACTGGAGAGAGCTGTGTCCTGCCTTTGCCACTAACTTTTTTTTTTTTTTTAAGTCAAGTTACCTAACAGCTTTGCATGATTTAAAGAGAATTGAATCACAAGATCTCTAAGATCCCATTGTTTGTTGTTGTTCTTCAGCTACTAAGTTGAGTCTGACTCTTTGTGACCCCATGAACTGCAGCACACCAGGCTTCCCTGTCCTTCACCATCTCCCAGAGTTTGTTCAAGCTCGTGTCCATTGAGTCAGTGATGCCATCGAACCATCTTATCCTCTCTTATTCCCTTCTCCTCCCCTCAATCTTTCCCAGCATCAGGGTCTTTTCCAGGATCCCATTAGGAGTCTCAAATTCTGTGGCTATACTAAGTACATAATAAGTTTTTAAAGATCTTGAAGTATACATTTATCCTTATGTTCTGTTTGGAAATATTACTCTTGAATTTGCCTGTGGCAGTTGTATTGGATTATGGTGTTCTGTTGGAGGTCTCACAGTCATCTTTTTGCCACCTGCAGAATATTTAGACAGAATATTTACAAAGCTTGTATGTACTTGTATCTGATAGTTCTGGAACCAGCCTTCAGGGCTGATGCTGTGGTCTCTGGTTTCTAACAAGCCTTCAGTTGCCCAGAGTCTCCATGTTTCCCCCCCTGCTGACTTTTTATCAGCAGTCGGCTGCCAGTGATGACACCTATGTAAAGGTTCCACCAGAGACACCAGGACTATTGTCGTTCCACGCCCTTTTTTCTATTACCTGGGACCAGGAACCATATCAGTGTCATTTGGAGTGACTCATAATTGAGCCAGAGCTGTCAGTGTAAGGCCTAGTGCTTTTCTAGCTTAGTGTTTGGCTCCATTAACCTGAAGTTTTAAGATATACAAGTTTGCTTGTTAGCAGTTAAATTCTTTCTTTCATTTTCCACCTGCTCCCATGCCCATGTTGTGTTAATGGAATATAGGATAATTATCAATTTATCTATTTGTAAAGGATGTTTGATTTGTTGCTCTAATCTTTCCTTAATTTTGAGTCTTTGACCTTTTGATGTCTTGGTATTTCTAGGGATGGAGGGAATGGCTATGGTTCGTTAGGACACACGACTCCCAGGTTCTCTGCAAGCAAAAAGAAATAGAACTGACAGTATAGGCTCCTGCTGTTGCCAGGCTTTTGTGGTGGCCGAACTCTCGGCACATGACTCGTGCGGAGTAAAGTTGCTGTAATCCTTTCAGTGTCTAATCTTGCTGCTGCTCGCGCTTTTATTATCTCTGTGGGTTCACATTTTGGCAGTGTCTGGACATCCGCTATCCTAATAATCCTTTAATTCCGTGAGTGTGTGTGTATTATATACAGGTCAGTGCTCGGCGTCATTTCACAAACTGTGTCATGTGTTAACTGGAAATCATTGTTCTTTCAAGAAACAACGGCCACTGGAATCCTTATCTTGTGGGAGTGTTATGTCATAGAAGTCACAATTACCAGCTATTTGCTGGCTACTGGAACAGCTGCCGCCTCTGCTGAAGCTCTGTCAACCTCCCACCCCTGCTGTCTGCCCTGCCCCTACCCGCCAGCCCTGACTCCCATAGTAGGGCAGGATTTATCCTCACAGGTTGTGATAATGTGATGGCAGACAATGGTTTGGACAACTGGCCCTGGACTTTGCTTCTTTATGTGATGGAGGCGCTCAGTAGATTTTCCCTTGGTTGTGGAGTTTATTCACGGTTTGACTGAAGAAGATTTAAGTGGTCATGATTTCTTTATTTTTTTAAAATTTATTTTTATTGAAGTATTGTGAGTTCTGGGCTTCCCTGGTGGCTCAGCTGGTAAAGAATCCACCTGCAATGTGGGAGACCTGGGTTCGATCCCTTGGTTGGGAAGATCCCCTGTAGAAGGGAATGGCTACCCACTCCGGTATTCTGACCTGGAGAAGTCCATGGAATGTATGGTCCATGGGGTCACCAAGAGTCGGACATGACTGAGCAACTTTCATTTTTCATTATGATTTCTAAAGCAAAGTGATCTTTAGTATGACCTCTGAGAGTGAAGGGTGGAAAAGAAATGTTTAGTGAGATCACTGGTGCTAAATAATTGGTAATTTAAGTAAAATATATGCTGTTCAAATGAGTACTGTGATATCCTTAGAGATAGCAATTATTTGGTAAATACCTGAGTTTCTGCGAGCTTCCCAGATGGCATTAGTGGTAAAGAACTTGTCTGTCAATGCAGAAGAGACGCTGGTTTGATCCCTGATTTGGGAAGATCCTCTGGAGAAGGGCATGGCAACCCATTCCAATATTCTTGCCTGGAGAAGTCCATGGACAGAGGAGCCTGGCAGGCTACAGTCCATAGGGTTGCACAGTTGGACACAACTGAAGCAACTTAGCACACACACACACACACGAGTTTCTACGTTGTACTTAGGCCCACAAAAAAAGATGAGATTTTGGTGTATACGTGGGAGGACAAAGGTATGTGCTCACTAAAAATTCATTTTAACAAAAATTAGATTAGAGCACCCTTAAATGTTTTCCTTGGCATCACATGAATAGCATTTAACCTACTCAATCTCAACTAATTCTCTATGCATTCTTGTGAATTTTCACTTGCGTTTTTGATTTTGGTCTTTAACTATGTCCTAATCTCTCTGGGTGTGATGATCTTGGTTAATTTTCCAGGAGCTTAGGAGTGTTACTGGTCTGTTCTATATTCTTAACCATCCCAAGCTGGATATGTTGATAATGTCTGAGATTTGTTATCCCACATTTGTTGTTAACTCCATGTTTGTTAATCCCACTCCAGTATAAATGACTAATTATAATTAGTTTAACACCCTCTGTTAGATAGTTACAGTTTTAGAGCAGAACTTGTTAACTCCATAGTTAGGAAAACCTTAGTAGGTGCTGGGCCCTGGACTAGGTGGTGGGAAAACAGAAGAGAGCCTTCTTTTTCCTGGAGACCGGGACTGGCCAGTGAGTCTCTTCATATTTGCATTGGGTTGGTGAGATGTTTGTGCTAGGAATGTCTTTCTGCACTCTTCCCTCTGCTTGTCTAGAAACAGTTTATCAGATTGATAGGCAGATTCTCTAATGTGTACCCCACTGAGAAAGTTTCGCTTTCCAGTAGGAATTTAAAGTTCCCTAAGTGGGTCTGACCCACAGTCATGCAGACTAGTATATTCTGGTTAAGGATGGCCTTGAGGTTTTCTTGAAGAAGCTTGGTTCCCCGGTTTGTGGTCAACCTCAGAGGTCAGGGATGCTACTCGAGGGCACACTTGGCTTCCCTTAAAATTCATTACATAAGTGAAGAATTAATTTGCTTGAGTCTTTTTCAGTCTCTGTCACCAGATGACAGTTCCATAGATGTGACACGGCCCTTTCTTTTAATTATCCTAAATCCTACATTTTTTAGCCTTTGGGACACTCTTCTTTAGTTGTACCCAAGGATTGATGAATGTTTTGGTTTATCGCCTTGTTTGACATTTTGATCCTTAGACTTTAATCAATCATATCTTTCTCAACATTTTTCCTCTAGATTAGAATTCTCATATTTTTAGTCTGTCCTTGGTACTGAGTCACAGAAAAGTCAGTACCATTTTTTCATTCTTTCATATACATCAAATCTTATAGTTTAATTCCTAGGGGCAGGAGTGC